TCCTGTGCTAAATGTTTTGCTTCTCCTTTTGTTAATTGTAATTAATTAAAAATATGTAGCAAAAGTGTAGCAGAATAAAGGTGAGCTTTTGAGATTGATAAATGAAATTTTAAAACACCTATTTCACTACTTCTTTCTAACTGGTTAGCTTCTTAACAAGGCACTATTCTCCTGAAAGGAGAAGATTTACAAAGCCTTGCTAAGAACTGTAGTTTGAAATTTTCAAAGAAAGCATTATGTCTCAAATGTTTTCTATATGTTACAATGGTATTTTTCACTTGTGACTTTAAAAAGTTCGTTATGGCTAAAAATTCTGCTTGTGTTCTGACACATCATTCTTTAAAAGACAGTGAAAACATGTATTCTGTAACAGACCAAGAATTAAAGCTGAGAGATAGGGAAATAGATAGGCAAATAGTTTGGGGGAGCTCCTTCCACACTGAGAGAGTCAATCCTAAAAATAGGAACATTTTTGTTAAACACTCTGTATGTGTTTTACTGGTGACTAGGAAAAAACCATTTGTTTTTAAAACTGTCATCTTTGAAGTGGCTCCCTTATTAGAGGTTTTCTCTAAAAAGCTTGTGAGACCTTTTCCCTTCCTCTGTACAACTGAGAAACACAGAGAACCTGCTCAAGAATGTGTAAACACTAATAGAGTCAGAACCCTGAAAATCTTATGTATTTTGTGAGACCTTTTCCCTTCCTCTGTACAACTGAGAAACAAAGAGAACCTGCTCAAGAATGTGTAAACACTAATAGAGTCAGAACCCTGAAAATCTTATGTATAAATAGCAAATGTTGGGAGAAATGAAAGTGAAATAACTGTATTTTTAGCCTCTTTAGTGAGGTGAGCGATGTGGCACCATGGGTTTGATCCATATCTGGCATCGGCAAAGGAGAGAAGCTGCTGGTACCTTCCTTCCTCTCATTCTCACACAACAGACAGCAAATGTAAGCGGTGCTTTCTCACAGTGACCTTGACCAAACATATCTTATTAACCAAGAAGCAAAGAGTATTGGCCAAGCTATGTTACCTGGTGAATTGGTTGGCATTTTTCTTAACTTGTTCTAATGTAAGCCTCACGTACTATAAAATTCCTGCTTAATCCCTTACCTATTTACAGTTTCAAATCTCTTAGTTGTTGAACAGTCAGTATGCAAAAGATAAACTTCCTTAACATTAATGATAATGTTTACACTGTTCATTTTTTAATTCCCCCTTAAAAAGAGAAAGAAAATGCAAATAGCGTTGGAAATAAATTTCTCAAACTTGTTACTGTTATGCTATTATTATAGTGCCTCACTGACATGGTTTTTGCCTTGAAATAAAAATGTTAAGCCATATGACTTAACATTTTTAATGTTATATGTAATAACTTCTATTTTTCGAGCATAAAGGCCAGCTCAAAATGTAAATTTAATTAAAAGATGCTTAAATACATTTGAATCCAACATAATGTTGGCTTTAAACAATGGCAGGATTAAGGGCTTTAGAAGTTATATGATAAAACTGTGAACTGCATTCAGATTTTTCCCATGTGGGTTTTCCTGTTATAGAAAGCATTTAAAAATAAATAAATAATGGCAGATTAGCACATGTACACTGTAATATATGCATTTAATCATTATGATGGGAAGAGTCATGAAAGCAAATTATAATAACTTATCTCTCACTCTCTTCTGAATGCTTCAGAAGTCAATCCTTTGGCTCTGTATGTCAGTAAAATGTCTTGATACTTCTAAAGAGCTCTGTCCTAGTAAAACACGCCCAATCAGTTCTGTTGAAGTGCTTGATATTATTCAAAAACAGTGTTAAAATATGCAAAAAAATTAATTCCATATGTGAAATATTAGTTTTTATTTGTATTCCTTGTGTTCGAGACTCTCATGAAATTTGTGCCTAACTTTTATGGAATGCTAATCACATTCAGATTTTGATAGTGAAACACAATCATACCTTGCGAACATGAGAATAATGACTGGGTAAATCATGTTATTGGTATTTTGTACAAACCCCAACAGAAATTATAAGTGGTGATTCTAATTTATCTGCTCAAAATAAGTAATCTGAATTGTATTGAAGAATTTTTTCCTTCACTAATTGCAGTATTTAAGATGTTTTAGTCAAAAGTCAAATTTATTATGAAGCTTTGCTTATAAAATCCAACAATTGTCTGTTTGCTTATGTTTATTAACATAATGAACTGTTAACAGGTCCAAATGTTCAGAATGTTTTTTTTCCCCCACACAATTTCCTTCTTAAATTTTGAAGGAATATGAGTGGAAGATTATTTTACTTTGACAAGAATATCATAATTGTATTGAGGTAATCATCACTTATAATTGCATTAAACAAAATGACTTTTACTATGTGTCAGAAGGTGTTTAAATATTCTATGCACAGTTTCTGCCATTGAGAAACAGTTGTTATTTAGCAAACGTACCAGTAGGAAAAAAATGAAATTACCTGTGGGAAGATTTCCCAGAGTACACAAATTTGGAAGTGATCCCCAGAAATACTTAATACATAAAAAATGAATAGGAACGTACAAATGCTAACCTTTAAGGTAAATAGAGATTTGTTTGGGTCAAGACCTTTGAGAAAAGCACAAGATCTTTATGAAAAAACAAAAGTGATATTTCTCTGTCACATGCTATAGTTTGTTACAAAGAAAATCTTGGAAATGTTCATTTGTAAAGATAAAATTTATTTACAGTTACAAACGTTAATTCTTTCAACACTGAACTGACTTTAAATGATCTAGAAATCAACCTAATTTTTAAGCATTTTCTCAGTGAGCTGTTTCTAATACATATTCTATATAAAGAAAAAGTATTATTTTAATAAGATATACACTGTTAGTGTAAAATTTTAAATTTACCATGTGAATGTTTTTCTGTGCCATATAAGTAACACATTTTATCTCCTCTAAGGACTTAAATGTAGAAAACATTTCAAAGAATTAGAAATATTTGATTTGGAGGGGGTTACTTTTTAGAAAGTATTAAAGCTTTAAAATATTGGGAAACAGATTTTTAAAACACTGTTGCTTGTTTAGTTATAGTAGTTATTTCTGGGTATATGTGATTGCTCAATGCAGATGAACTTTTTTTTCTTTAACAGCCACTTAGATTTTTTTTAAATATGTGGGCCTGCAGAAGAGCATGCCACTGTCAAAAAGAAATTTAAAAATAGAAATTCTTCGTATTTTTGTGGTAATTTGTAAAACCCATAACTAGAATTTGAGATAGTCCTTGTCTCTCATCAATCAAGAAATTATTTACTTGAAGATTTTAGGAGTTTTTTGTTTGTTTGTTTTTTGGTTTTTTGCCCTGTACCATAACCTAAGAAGGTTTAAAATTAGATTTTGCATACATTGAGCAAAGTTGGGTTCTCTATTTATTTTGTTAATGTGCCTATCTGCTGTATAAATCAGCTGTGTCTTTGCTTCCAGCTACACTCAACCTCATTACAGATACCTATTACATTCCTCCTCCATACAGTAATGAGACTTCTCATTGCAGTCTGATCTTCGGCACTGAATTTAGTTTAAAAGTCTAGCAGGCTTTATGGGCTGTAAGTTCCTAAGTTCTTTTCCCTTTCAAATGGTTCAGCCAGTTAAGAAAATGCTAATTGAACACTGCTAATAATTTTTTAAAGGCATGTATAAATTACCTGGAAATAATGACCTCATGGAAAGTAATAGGCTGGCCTCAAAAAATATTTTTATTTACTTTTTCAGTAAAGGAACTATGTGTTCCTTACAGGACATTTTTTTTAAAAAATCAGGTTTCTCTACTGAACTCAGTGATGAATTATTCTTTTTCCAAAACCCTAAAAGAAAGAGTAGAGACTTTTTAGCAAGTACATTCTGTGATGTTATGACAGTGAATGACTTCCGGGGACATGGACTTGAGCGTGTTTTGTTCTCACACTCAACTATGTGCATTTAACAAAGAGCTGACTTGCAGCTGTCACTCTTCTGTTTGAACTGATTTGTGGCTGTCACTCCATTTGTAAGCCAACAAAAAGCAGTTAGGGTCAGGAATATGCAGGCTAGTGCACAGAACCCAAGCAATTATTGGGCATTTCTTTTCAACCCAACTACCCAAAACATGGGAACTAGAAATGTTCTTGAATGTTGACTTCTCGCTCCTGTACAGCATTTATTTGATCAGGTGTGAATTAGAGTTGCTCATTAAACGTGGTTGTTATTCGGCACAAGAGGGTTAGGGGAGACAGAGGAAGTGGCTGCTTACAACAGTAATTAAACATGTGTAACCAATTAGGGGGTTTTCCACTAGGGCACAAGCATATAATTTGCTAAGTCTTTCTATGAGAATAGATGAAAATAGGTACAAAAAGTGTGTCTGACTACAACATTCTCATGTTAAACATGTCAACATAAATGAACTTTAAATATATAATTTCTAGTTTGTTAACAAACCACTGAACTCTACTGGCTAATAACAATAACATGTAATTTTAGTTCATCTTGCCAAGAAATATTGCATCTGACAGAGCCAATTAACTATATTGAACATCATTAATTTTAGGCCTAGACTGTATTGATACTCATCTGCAAATCCTGTAATGTGGAGACGTACCCTGTCTGTGAGGGAAGTCAGCACAGAGGGATAAAAAGACTGGGGACTGGCTCTCTGCTCTAGCTCCGAGTCTGGGAGATTGTTTTTCTGAAGAGATGTAAAACGTGCTTATATTTTCTTTGTTACATTTACAATGGAAAGTATTTAGCTGAAATTTCCTACATGAAATAAATGACTATTGATTTGAAAGGTTCTATAGAATTACATTAAATTCGTACCGTCTCAGTGCTGCATAAAGATAATAAATCTGTGCAGTCGGAGACCACACCGGAGTCGTGGTGGCCGCTCCCTGTCAGGTGCTGATGTGGGTTTGAAAGGTTACAGATTAGTTTAGCAATGTTAAGTGAACTGGCAAAGGCATCTCTAATTCTGCTGGAAATGAGGAAGCCCGATGGTGAAGGGGAATCCTAATGAGCCCGTCGAAAGCTGGCTTTGTACCCAACAGACAGGGTAGCTGCGGATTGTATGAAAATATTGGAAATCAATGGCTTCTATGGAATTTCATTAAGAAGCAGTATCCACAATTGATAGAGCCTCATAATTTGATGGATTGTGCTAAGAAAATGATTAGCTAGCTAGAAGGAGTCATAGAATACACACGCTGAGACGTCAGAAATGTTGAAGTGGGGTAATTTGTACAAAATAAAAAATATCGATTTTACTTATGTGCAAAATTTTGACATGGAGGGCGGGCTGCCTGGCGAGCCGCTGGCTGATGTGAGCTCTTGATTTTCCAGCCGCCCCGGGGGAAGCTGCGGAGGACGGCGACAGCGGCAACGAGAGCAGGAGCGGGAGCGAGGGGACCAGCGTGTGTGAGAAGTGCTGTGCCGAGTTCTTCAAGTGGACGGACTTCCTGGCGCACAAGAAGAGCTGCACCAAAAACCCTCTGGTGCTGATCGTGCCCGAAGATGAGCCGGCGCCGCCCGCAGAAGACTTTCCGGAACCTTCTCCCGCGAGCTCTCCCAGCGAGCGGACCGAGAGCGAGGCCACCGAGGAGGCCGCCCCCGTGGACGGCGGCGAGGGCAGCGAGGTGAAGGCCCCGGAGAGGGGGGACGAGCCCATGGACGTGGAGCCCGCCGGGGACAAGGGCTTCCAGGGGCCGGGCACCGCAGGCGCGGCCAAGCCCACCCCCGCTCCGGCGCCAGAGCCATCCCCCGTGGCCGCCTATGGCATGCCGAGCACCAACGTGACTCTGGAGGCGCTGCTGAGCACCAAGGTGGCCGTGGCGCAGTTCTCGCAGGGCGCACGCGCGGCAGGGGGCGCGGGATCGGGCAGCGGGGTGGCCGCAGTGGCCATCCCCATGATCCTGGAGCAGCTCGTGGCGCTGCAGCAGCAGCAGATCCACCAGCTGCAGCTCATCGAGCAGATCCGCAGCCAGGTGGCCGTGATGAGCCGCCAGCCCCTGCGCCCGCTGCTCAATCCCGCAGCGGCTCAGGGTGTGCCAGCGCCGGCCCCCGGCCCGCTGCAGGGGCTGGCCTCGCCCTCGGCCCTGCCGCTTTCGGCCGGGGCGCCCC